AATCAGAAACAAATTCTCTACAAGATACACTAGGTCCCACCACTGGCGCTTAACTCCGATGTAAACGTGGTATGTTTCAGATGGATATGCTCAGTAGCTATACTTGCAACATCGATATCTTCGAAATGCCTCGTGCATTTGAGCTGAAACCTTCAGTTTATTCTTTAGTTAGATGTATATATCTACTGTAGAAATGCCACCCAATTCGATGAGATCGATTGAGCAACGTTCTACTGGAGATGATCGTGGCTTACGTGCAATGTCTCCTAAGGAAACAAGTTGACTTGTATTGGAACTCAATTCAAAACAAGATAAAAGGATTTCGATGAACTTTTAACTTTTGAGAAATTATTTCAGATCCTGCAATACGTATTAGTGACTTAATCGGGCCCATGGATTCTCCACTGTAGCAGGTAAAATAAAGTCGAGAGAACAAGAATACACATAGAGGACAAGTATACTACTACGCACTTAAAAAATTTCGTCACTATGCTCAATTCAGAAAAAAATGCGGTTATTGTGTTCAATCAGTGCAATTCCCAAGAGGGTAGTCGTCGAAAATGTATCTCTGCAAATACGTGTCGCTCATCGATTCGAGGACAACTTCCGTACTATCATCATGACTCAAAGCTAAAAAGATGTCAAGATGATTATTTCTTGAATCCATGCTTGACTACATTATACCGACTACTACAACCAATGACGACCTTCTATAATGATCTGATACGTGTTTGTTCCAATATTGGAGACTTTTCCGTAGCTAGAGCGTCCATGCTCCAAAAGTTGCGCCAGATTTTTGCGCATAACGTTCGTCTTCTTGATGCTATTCGTATATTCTTCCAATCTTATCAATCTTCCGAAGCTGTGAACTGGTATACCAAAGACAGCTTTGCGTATAGGATAATCAACGCAGTACTACGTTCTGGAAACATTGGAGAATTCTACTTTTTAAGGTTCTTCATCATCAATTTACACGCGCAACTTGTCGAACTCAAGCGCCAGCAACAACAGGCACACAAGAAATCGGTGGAGTGCATTCTATACCGCGGCCTTAGGCAATCTGAAAATCATTTACAAATACTGCGTAATCTTATTGGTCACGTCGTGATGGTGAAAGGCTTCATGTCAACCACTCGAAAAAGAGACGTTGCACTAATGTACGCTGGAGCGTTTGAAGCGCAGAGTCGAGAATCACAAGCACTGCTAGTTGAGATTCAAGTAGATTTGAGCTCGCCAACGGTAATTGCCGCCGATATTGCACATTTGAGTGAGTTTCCTGAAGAACACGAGGTACTCTTCGATATTGGCAGTACATTTCGAATCGAGTCATTCGCACTTGACTCATCTACAAAATTTTGGCTTTGTCGGTTGCAAACCATAAGCGATGAGTCTTCACAAGTCCTCTTTCTTGGAAATGCGCTACCAAGTCAATTCAATACTACTTTAAATGTCTACACTGAACAAGAAGTCTACATGGAAAAACTATTGCAATTAGTGCGCCGACCCAAGCATCAATCAGTCTCTATCTGTCGTAACAATGATGCTATATGGCAGAACCTGCCTGGAGAGACATGGGTGGCTAGTAACTACATTGAAATAGCAGAAATCCTGCACCAAAGAGCTATCATACGCTGGGAGTGTAGTGGTGATCATTATAGGGGCCTTGTAGACGTTCAACGGGCTTGGAAGTTTTATAATCGGTTACGTGACACTCATTTCATACATAATCACAACATGGCTTTGTGTTTTCATCATATAGGGCATGCGTTCCTAGTCATGGGAGACAATATGCGTTCCATCGACTTCTTCAAGTACTCGCTCCACATTAGTTTAAAAACTAGATCGCCCAAGGTTTTTATTGCTCAAACATTACGTAATTTGGGATTAGCTTTGGCAAAAAAAGGTTTTTATAAGGATGCATTCGCCTACCTATCTCAGGCTCGAACCGTTGATAAGCAGATTCGACCCGCAATCCCATGGAGCACTTCTATGTGTCTACGCAACATTGGTCTGGCATATCATTGTAAAGGTGACTACACTCTGGCAGCATATTATCTTTCTAAGGCTCTGAACACTCTCCAGCGAAGTACAGATCTTTGGTAGGAACAACATTGAAAATGTCGGTGTGGAGTGTGAGCCCGGCCTCCAGATGTTTCGTCCCGATCATTCCGAACATGCGTCTTAGACACCGGATGTTCGAAATTGACATTTTAGTCCTTCAACAAGTGTTCGGAAAAGAATCTAAAGGATGTTCGTAAGGTAGAGAAGGGTGTGAGTGTGGGTGGGTGGGTGTGGGGTGTGGGTGTGGATGTCGGTGTGGGTGTGGGTGCGGGTGTGTGGGTGTGTGGGTGTGGATGTCGGTGTGGGTGTGGGGTGTGGGTGTGGGGTGTGGGTGTGGGTGTAAGCCTGTTAGCGTCCATGATGATTCACTTGGACGCTAAACGATGATTAAGATGCGCCTTCTAGTCTAATTGGCTTAGGACAACTGCCCGGATAGCAGAAGGTATGAGTTCGAGTCCCATGAAGGTCATCTTTTTCATCGTTCTGTCACATAACATCAGTGACACTGCTTGTCTCTTTCGTTCTATACATATGGAGCTAACAAAGCCATCTATTCATCTAAATCTACACCCACACCCACACCCACACCCACACCCATTATTTCTACTTAGATTATTTCATAGTAACCCAATCGAATAATATGAAACTTGTTTCACTGTAACAGTACTTAGTACATGTGTAAATTTAATATAAAAATGTGAAAATTTCCTATAGATTCCAATAATGCTGGAATTTCCATGGTTTTCATTGTGCTTTGACCAAATTATTGAATTATTTAAAACTGTTTCTATTTTAAAATAAACTATTCTATGAAATTCTATTTTTCTATCTGAAAGTTTGCTCACATAGAGATCTTAATTCAACCAACTTGTACAGTGCGCATTATGCAAAAGCTTTATGTGACGATAACTAAGTAAGTTTTGATCTCTGTCAGCGTTGTCGAATTTAGTAAAACTTAATTTACGATCTGAGTAGATATAAAAATGTAAAATGACACTAACCTACTCTTGAATATCTTCAATCATCATTTCACTCAAATGTAAAAATAATCGAGGCGCATTGACGATAATCTTTTCATTTCTACCAACAATGTTCAACTTAAAATTTAAAACTAAGCTTGATCGATCAGGATAATGAAAATTATTAATAAATATTGGTATCGAATAGATGTGAAATATCCATCCGTAATGTGCACTGTACCCATCATCGCATCGAACAATCCAATGTTTGGTTTCTAGCCAGAAAAGTGTTCGAAATGGCATAATCAGTGATTGTACAGTAACACTGTGTATTTTATCGAATACATTACTAAAGAATGAGAATTTGAACTTGTTCATCGTTATATAAATGCTGATACCAAATGAGAGAGAAATTAAACGATTGAACTGTTTATTACCAGCATGTTTTATATTAGTTTCAGCTTGTTCAGAATCGTGATAATAATGCTCTGTTATAGGCAGTATTCGTAGATTAGGTAAGTGATCAAGAATACAGTAAAGTGTAGTCCAACTACATCAATTGATTGTCACGTGTTCTAATGCATATGATATAGGCCAATCAATATTATTGAGGACATGATCATACATATTGAATTCGATTTTACGAAGATCTTTGTGCGATATAATTGATGACAAAGATGGTCCAATATTTTCTATATTAGAGAAATCATGCGATATGAAGAATATTGTAAGAAAATATTTCATAATATGATTTTGAAACTCATCTAATTCTTCTTTTTTTACGTAAAATAAAGCGAATGATCACAGTTGAATGAATTGGTCAATACGAAAGTGTAAGTGAAATAATGTTTTTAGAATCAATAACGCATGCCATGAGAGGTAAATCAGATTTTGAAATATAACGAAAATCTAATTCATAACGATTATAAGCATTAACAATGAAATAAAGACGTTTGCATACGTAACGAATTGAAAAGACAATTGTTTCTGCATTGAGATAATCAAAAATTCGATGAATAAGCTCCATGACTAACGTTTGAAAATAAAATTTCGTTTTAGTGGATATGAGTTGTGAGATGAAAAATCTACGAATGTAAAATATGTTTTCTTCCAATTATATGACACAATTGTGTATTCACATGGAGTCGAAATACTTCAGAATATGTATCATGAGCAAATGAAGAGAACAGAAAAAACCCAGTATTTGCGTATTTATAAGGTGAAATGTTGAAAATAAAAGTAGTATTACTCATTCACAGAACCAACTTACAAAAATTTCAAAATGAAAATGCAATAAACAATGTTGAAAATAATGACAAAATCTATTTCAATTTGGGATAAAATTCTAAAAGTAAAATTGATAGAAGAAAATTTGTTTCATAAAACTTTTTCAATCATCAAAATATCAAATACTTCTTAATATATGTCACATCACTCAATTACTGAAGAGAATTGATCATACAATATTATTTCAAGACAAGAAGCAGAAATTGATTCACTTACAATAACATCAATTGAAGAAAAATGATTAGAAAGATAACCAGCTTGTGTTTTTTAAATCTGTCAATCAAACAGTATAGTTTTCTGCTTTGAATAACCATTGACAATGCGAATTCATTTTTAATGTCAAGAAAAACATTGTCCATTTCTCAACAGTCTAACTGTGCTATCCTAATCTAGATGAAAATTGATGTTGGTAATAAAAACTCTGTAGTGGCGTCTATGAAGTTGTCTAGGTTGAATAGAAGAAAATGGTTGTTCATAGATTTAGTCATTGAAGTCAAGACTAGAAGGTTCTATACAAAAGAAGTTGGAAAAAGACGAAAATAATGCTTATCTTCTATTCCGTGCATCATAATATCAATATTTGAACTTTACATATGTTTATTTGTCGACATTTTTTGTTAACATTTTTATTATTGCCATTTGCACACTTTATTCTTATTCTCGATTGCCATTCAGTTTGCCACTAACATTATTATGATGATAAGCGAAACACACGGTAATCAATCTAAGATTCTTACCATAGAGAGTCTAAACCGACGTATTATTGCTATTAAATATGCTATTCGAGGTCCTATTGCAATTCGAGCGGCTGAAATTGAACAGCAACTCAAAAAGGTAGTGTATTAACCAAAACTGAAATCGTCGGTAATTTCATCGATCTATTCTAGGATGATCATAACTTTCCATTTGATCACTTAATTCGTGCTAATGCTGGTGACTGTCATGCGAGTGGCAATCAAGTACCTATTACGTACATTCGACAAGTTCGTACTGTCTTTTTTCTTTAACTTTAAAAATAATTCTGAATTTTAAGTTCATCGCTGGCTGTTCATATCCTCCACTTATGGAAACGCCTGACTTTCCTTTAGACATCAAATGTAAAGTTGAAAGTTTGCTGAGCGCCTGTGGTGGTAGAAGTCTCGGTTCGTATACGGAAGCTCCAGGCATATTCACTATCCGACAAGATATAGCCGATTATATTCATCGTCGCGATGGTCATCCATCCAATCCAGAAGATATCTATCTATGCGATGGAGTGACAAACGGAATTCGAACAGTCCTTAAGCTTATCATGAATAACGATCTGAAGAAACCATCAGGAGTGGTGAGTGATGATTTAGAAGTATTTTTAAAGCAGTAAAAACTGAAAATTTGAAAATTTCATATAAATAATAACTCGACTATGTTCTACTGATTTTTCTGTAGATGACTCCTATTCCACAATTTCCATTGTACAGTGCTACACTCTCCGAATATGGCATTTATGAAATCGAATACTATCTCGATGAAGATAATAATTGGGAAGTGAATATGGAAGAATTAGAAAAAGCACTGAACAAGGAGAAAGACAACTGTGTACCACGTTGTATTGTTGTTATCAATCCTGGAAATCCTACAGGTAAGAAGAGATTTTCAATTAAAAATTAATTATCTATAGTGTGTAGGTCAAGTTCTCTCTAGAAAGAATATTGAAGATGTGATTCATTTTGGTAAGAGATCGAGTTTTTTTTTCTCTTGGTTAGCTTTTAATCATTATTGAGTACTGTTTTTAGCCTACAAACACAAACTATTCATTGTGGCTGATGAAGTCTATCAAGACAATGTCTATGTCAGTGGTTCGAAATTTTATTCATTCAAAAAGATACTAATGGATCTTGGTTCGCCCTACAACGAAATGGAAATGGGTGGGTACTGTTTCTTACTAATTCATTCATATTTTGACTATTGATATTTCTAGTATCGTTTCACTCAGCATCCAAAGGCTGGCATGGAGAGTAAGTTCATGACTATCTCAGTGTTTTTTGATTCTACACAAAGATAAATATTTTAAGAACATGTGATATCTATTTTTCTTGTTTCGTGACAGATGTGGTTCGCGTGGTGGTTACTATGAATTGATCAATATCGATAAGGATGTGCGCATGCAACTGAACAAGCTCATATGTCCTGTGTGTTCAACGTCATGGGGTCAAGCGATAATGGATGCCATTGTCAATCCACCAAAAGAAGGCGAAATATCATATAAACTCTACGAAAAAGAACGCTCCGATGTTTTAAATCGACTCAGAGACAAAGCCAGTCTGGTCAATGATCTATTTAATTCTGTCGAAGGTGTTCACTGCAATACTATCATGGGGTTAGATGCAATGTTGTGAATTTTCTTTTTGAAGATCGCTATTAATTTTGTTTAGGGCCATGTATGCATTTCCTCGAATCGATCTACCGAAGAAACTGATCGAATATGCTCAATCGAAAAATATGGCACCGGATGAATTCTATTGCTTTGAACTACTCAATAAAACTGGTATATGTGTAGTGCCCGGTAGTGGATTTAAACAACGACCAGGCACATACCATTTTCGTACGACCATTTTACCACCGATCCATCAAATAAAACAGCTCGTCGACAAATTTCGCATGTTTCACATGTCGTTTTTGCACGAATGGAAATAGTTATTTGATATGTGTCTATATATGAGTGTTCTGCACAGGCAATCATAAAATAATAATCAATGCTTTCATTATAAATTGTCTGAAAGAATGATGTGTAACAATAGTTTTTCGCGTTTGTATGGTAGTCTATGATGACTCTTTACTTTAACTAATTTTGTACTATAGGGTACGGGTATTAGTAAAATACGCTCTCAACCACTCTGAGCGCCAGTAAATTCGAAGACGATATCAATCGATAGAACGTAAAAATCCCTATTCGTAAAAATATTATGCATGGAAAATCTTCTGATATCAAGAGACCCACATTGGCTTCAGTGTGTCACACCTGTCCACCTTTAAGTATCAACTTACTCCACTCAAATACTTAATGCAGTTGATAATGAGAATCTATTGTGAACTGTCTTGTTGAGGTACGGATAAAAAATGCGCATTTCTGTTCTTTTTCATAACGAACAGCATAAAAAAAGCCATTCTTTCTATTTCACTTCTACTATACACTATTGCAAATCGATGAATCCAAATCTCTTATGAATTTTTCAAAATTCTTTATTTGATTTTTTTTTTCTGTGGAAAATGGTTTCTTATGAAAATATTAACTTTTCATTCACTGGAAAGAAACATGAAAATAAACTAAATTTGATGCTTAGTTTAAATAAAGTTAAGGGCATCACCTGTACCCATTCATCTATTTCATTTTTCATTCTTACAGAAACACAACATTGAAAAGTAAGTACGATGCTTGCTATCCAATCCTGTCATAGTTACATGAAATGGAGACATTTGCTAAGCCCAAGTTAAGAACATCCCGTCTCCTGCGTCATATAGATTAAGTGTGCCTATATACATCCAAAATGCTTGTGAATCAAGTTGTTCATAGACTTTTTTAAGTTCTTTGTCATAGCTTTGTCGAGACCCACGATTAGCTGTAGAAAAAGAATTTACAACTGCTTTCTCGGCATATTCAAATGCTTCTTGTATTCGACCTAATTTATGAAGCGTATGACCTATGATATAATATGTAGCACTGATATTATTATGTTCCTCTGGATGAATTTTGAGTCGAATGTTGAGCACTCGATTAAAGTAAATTAGTGCTTCTTCGTACTTTTGCTGAAAGTAAAATACAAGAGCAATATTGTAGTTTCTTTCGGCGATATTTTCTTGAATAGATTCAATGGTGTTAACTTCTATTTCGAGAGAACGCTGAAAATAGTCCAAAGCAGTGTTAAAGTTCTCCTTCAAGTAATGTATATTACCGAGATAATAGCAGACTTGGCTGAGTAATTGTGTGTTTTCAGATTCATTTTCTCGTTTGATATCAAATGCTTGTTGATAACTTTCAAGCGCCTTGTCGTATTGATCTATATTCTTATAGAAATTGCCCAATATATCGCGTATCTTTGCCCGTTCTCTCCAGTCAATTTCATTCTCTAACGCTTTTATATAAAATCGTTCTCCATTTGTTTCATGTATACGATTAGTTAAATTTCCTAACATGACCAAAGGATTGTCAGAATTTTGAATTTGCACTCTTACAAACTCGGATAGTTTGAGCATTTGACAATCTCGATCTCTAGTCAATTTGAGCACTGCTTCCCATAGATTATCTTCTTTTTGTTCAACAGAAATAATTCGAAATATGCTACCCATAGAGAACAGATATTCACGTTCTGCTCCTCCATATTGGCTAAGACAATCAATATTACCAACAGGAACTTCTGAACGAATCGCAGGATCCATTAGAATGATCATGAGAACAGCTGTTCTCTCTTCATCTCCATCAGCACATATACGAGTTATATTTTTGCGTTCGCTTGTCGATAGAAAATTAGAAATAGAGAGTAGTCCACCGACATTGGATTTAAACTGTGCGAATACATCATTTGGCATGCCTAAACCACGGAAAAGCATATGAGGAGTTCAGTATTCATTTTTCAATGCAAGATCAAGAAGCTGTTCATGAAGATGCCGAATGAAAACACGAAATGCATAAATCGTATCTAGATCCATAGTGTGTGTGGGTGGGTGGGTGAGTGTGAATGAACAGAACACAACACGCACACCGTCATCCACAGCCACACCCCACGCCCACACCTCACTCACACCGAAGCTTTGCAAACGCTGAAATTTTCATCAAAATCGACGATCACTTTTGTAAGCGTGTTTGAGATCCTATTGAAGTACCTATATCAGATATTTTTATGTACTTTTAATAAAAATAATAATTAATAAAGAAAAAAAGAGGTAAAGATTATTTTTAAAATGAATAACAGAGCTTAGAACATAATATGGATTTTTGAATCTTTTATGACTACAGAAAATTTTTCTAAATAAATAAAAGCAGTCTTTCTTGTAATTTACAAAAAGGAAATAAAAAATCGAATAAGTAGAAATTGATCTGTAATACATGAGAAACTGCTTAAAATTACAGAATGAATAAAGCTTCGATGTGTAATCATCGTATGCATACCAAAAACTCGCATATGCTATCTATCTAAATCAAAGAAACGCCGAGAAAGCATTATGAAAAATATAAAGAAGAAAAAAAAGACAACAAGGGAGTATTCTTTTTACTTCTCTTGATTCAATATATATGGTCATAAGATAGACTACTGATATTAGAAAATTGAAAATATACAGAGACGATCAAATCGAATATCATAATAAACGGCTCTCACATCGTCCTAACTATCATCAAGTGGTAGAAACTGAACATTTGGATACTTTTAATGAATATATTTTTGTTTATTGGTCCAGTGAAATCAAGTCTTGAGTATGGCTGTAAAACAGAAGAAGATACATCCATATCCGCTAGAATTTTACACACATATTTCATAAGATACATTGAGTTTCCAGAAGATCTTCCGTATTAAAGAATGCTATTTCAGTTATCATTTAAAAAGAATATATTACTTAGACTATTGATTATTGTTCTACGATGATATCTTAATGACATTTATTAATTGATAACGAATTTGAAAATAAACTTAACGCAACTCAAAAGAAAAACACAATAAAAATACAAATAAAGCAATAAAACAAGATTTAATATATAATTATGAGCAAAGCGTACAAGAAGAAATTCTATAAACTTTTATACTTGATAGCAGAAGTTAGATGTATTTATTAACTCATTAGTTGTGATATGATACAAATTTTAAAAAGTGTTTCGATCTTTTGAAAATTGGTATGAAAATGTAAGGAACGATAATTTGTAGATATGAATCTGACGCGAAGTTGGTTATCTCAATAAGATAAGGATTCACTAAGTTCATGTCAATTTTTAGATTTCAAAGAATTGTTTCCTTAAACTTTCCAAACTTAGTATAATTAACTAATTAGATTATATCATATAACAACAGTGAGAAAAATCTTCAATAGATTTAAGAAGAAGAAAAAAAAACAAAATATAAATATTTTAGATAAAAATCATTTTAAATACTTTGAAGTCCTATAATTCAAACGTCGTTCTATGACAGTTCGATAATTAATGATAGTTTTACAAAATTGTTCTTTATAAAATTTGGATGGTAATATAAATACAACAAATGTAAGCATAGATGGAATAAATGAAATAAAATATCCAATAAGAAATAACCATGTATCATTGGTTGATTTCATACAGGGTGTGGGTGTGG